GGCATTAACGGCTATGATAACCGATCTGTACTTGTTAATGAATGGCGAAGAGATGCATTTTGTGCCAAAAAAGTAACGACTGTTAATAAGAAGTTACACTGTCGCTGCGGTTGCAAATATTTTTCACGTCAGTGCTTGTCCTTCTTGTTATTCTATGCAGTTATCTGTTGACATGATAGAAAATCGGTGTCGCATGGCTGAAGTTCATTTTTAAAGTTAAATCTGGGTTTCAACCAGTAATTCACATCTGTATTGCGGTGGTGGGAAACATACATGGTAGAATATTCTCCGTTTAAGGCTAGAATAGTGGGCTATAAAGTCCTAGACTTGGCCGCTTCTGCTTGAACATTTTTATGGATTCAGTTCAAAGGAAAAAAGGGTAAAGTCATAGCCGCCAAATCCGCTTCACAGGATGCACCACGCATTTTGCTTCCATTCAGAGTTGTAGTGCCTGGGATGGATTCAGTTATTTATTTAGTCTATGGGCTAATTTCATAGATTTTGTGTACACTGAGCTCGCTGTGAATCGCTTATTCCTCACTTATGGGTCAACGATCAGCCTATCCTATTTTATTCATATGCTACTTGTAAGTTTTCTCTTCGGTTTTTATTGTGCTTCATAGCTTTCTGCTTTCCAATAAGTAAGTTTTGGCATACCTCCGGGAGTGAGGCAAAGGTGGTGGTGGCCAGTGGCGCTCTTAGCATGCTCGTGGCCCGGGAGTCAAAGCGCGGATCGGCTCCCGCTCCAGGCCAACCAAGCCTTCTATTCTCCGGGGACGGTAAATTGGTACCAGATTCGTCTGGGAGGATAAAACACTGACTTGTACATCGGCTGGCCCCGCAAGTCATTGTATAGGCCACATCGCATTCAATAGCCACTACGATTCTGAATGGAAGTAGAATGCGTGCCGCATCCCACAAAGGGATTGATCAACGGCGGAGACATCATCCTTTTCATCCTTTGCCCCCCATGAAAGTTAATAAATAAATGTGCTTTTGGGATTTTGAGAGCCTGCAAGTTGCACGGCGTATCATGAAGCAGTTGTTTGGTGCATAATTGACCTAGTGGCATTTATGCGTATAGATAAAGAATCCTTTGTGCAGTAACTTGTTGGGAAGGGTTCTAGGACTAGCCGGTAGGCCCTGTGCACAACTACGCTGCAAAACTTATTTTGTTATTGCACATCTTGTACTTTTCTACCTTCTAGTGCTTTCCTTTCTTTTACCTTTGTTTGACATGCAGACAGGATTATCTCGTTACTGTACTGTCATTTATGACAGTTTTTCTTGTGCTCTGCATGAGCAAGATAGCCTTGCGTGATTTTAAGGGCTTACTAACCCATTGATAAGTGTGATACTCAAACTTTGCCAACAAAAACAATAGTGCATAGTCAGTACGAAGTCACGTGCAAGTCATTGAAAAACATTGTAATCAAGTGAGTTATCCTTTGAAGTAATTGGGAACATGGCTTTTGCACTTTGTTAACGAACTACGTGAAAAAGATTTTGAAAGAATTTTCAAAATTTTTCGAGGCTTTTATACTCATCATGGTTTGTTTCGATGCTGTTGCCGCTTAACAACGAACACCATTTTCAGGAAAATTCCATGGGGAGCCAAGGGGGAGGGGGTGCTTAAAGGCAGAGGTCAGTCAAAGCTGAAGAACAAGGCAGAAGAGTAATGGACCTTTCAGAATGCTTGGATCACATCGACTTGGACTTGCAAGCATTATGTGAAAGTCATACCTTTCTACCATTTCAGCATGAAAGTAGAGCGCATGGCGCACACACGAAAGCGATCAATCGATAAAATGCAAGTTATACGCTCGTTACACTCACTGAGAAGATGTGTATCCGAGAGATATTCAGATCCCTGAATGAGTGTAGTATTAGTGGCATGATAGGAATCGAGCTATTGAGTGGCTCAGAATTTTGCTCATCACACACCCGTCTGAAATATCTCTTGAGCTACCAATTTTCAATGAATTTTAGAGAACGGTAATTTCCGATCTCCAATCATATTTTTGGTTTCGCAAACGACTGCGTACCCAGGGAGGTGTGGTCGCTTGAAGCATGGAAGCTCGCATGTTTTCTTCCATTCGTCTATCTAAAACCCAGCGAAGATATTTTTCGAACTGGGAGGACTCAGAGGAAATTCAGCTCAATTATTAAACCACAAACCTAGTGCTTTACCATGCTGTTTTTTCGTTTCACCATTCCGGCATCTTTTCTAAAAAGGTAGGGTCGCCCAATGAAGAAGGACCGGTCCTTCAAAGAAGGTGTACCGAAAATCGCCTTGTCCATCGCAGTGATACTATAAGGCGTGAAATCAAAAGTTAGTGCGGAGGGACCTCGCGCCGGAACTCTGGTCGTACTGACACCGCCATTTCACACATCCTGATGATGTACTCAGCACAAATGGTCCATAAACCCATGAATTCCAGGCAAGCTATGCTTCTTATTTCTCTAGCTAATAGTAAGCAAACTTGTAGATTCTAATTTAAACGAGTAAAACGTCCATATGGTCTGGTAAGCCATTGGATGGGTGAGCGTTTGAAAGCGTCTAGAATACGGGATAGCGAATGCATGGCGCTTACCAAGCGATTCATCAATCAACGCCGAGTACATTGGCGTTTCATCGCATACCTCGCACTCTGCGGAGTAGAGATCTAAAAAGTTCATTGGCAGGCCACTTTGCATTCTCTTCCCTACGTTGGTGGTCCATCCAAGGGATATTTTGATTCGTACGTCACTTACTGATTACGTCATCTGAAAAATAGTTACTAGCAGATGTAATTGTTAATAAAGATTCCGAATTTGAATTTGTCGGAGCGAAGCGAACCAAGTGAATCACGTGGGCGCAAATGGGTATCGTTCAACGCTTGTAGGCGTTTACGCCCACTTTCGCGCCTGCATTCCGTTTTTTAGAGTGCATTTCGAGAAGGAGCGTTATTATTAGTTGGATCATTGGCCGGTTTCTCCGCCACTCTGCATCGTGTAGGCTTTTAAATCGTCGTTAGCGTATCTCGTTACAATCATACTCCTTTTGTACAGTCTACTATTACTATTACGGGCAATTAGAAACGGATCTCATGAATTTTTTTTCTTGGAATAATTGTGGTGTTTGTGTGTATGGTATGTTTCTTGTAGTGAATCTTTGATTATATTTGATTGATGGTGCCCTTCTATATCGCCCTCACCGTCCGATGGCGCCTATTTCTTGTGGTGTTTGTCGAGGGACATGGCGGCGCCCTAACGGTGTCGAGGATTCATGCCGGTGTGTCCGCCCGACCTTTGGCTCGTGCGGGCAACGAGGAAGGCTGACGTGGCAAACATCGGCGTAAACAACAAGAAAGGGAGGTGATGTATGAGCATGAGCAGAGAGCATGATGAGGTTTGGACTACCAATGTTGCACTCTTGATGTGGGCCTTCTTCTCAGGACGCATCAATGCTGGGGATTCCCTAACAGGGGGATCGTTTGTCGTTGTGGGAGGGCGGGAGGGGTCGTGTTTGATCTGAGAAGAAAATTTCTTCATAGTTGGTCCTTGTTCAGGGACATTGAAAGGGGGAGGGGTCGTAGTTGCCTTCTGACCTTCTGTTCTGAGAGGTTGCTGACTTTTCGAGGTTTTTCTTTTTCATGTGTACTATATACCCTATATACCCCCTCCCCCGCCAGGGCACATCATTGTTGGGAATTCCCCAACAGGGCGGGGTCGTATTTGAGCTGAGAAAAATTTTTTGATAGTTGATTTTTCTTGTTTATGGACGTTGTAAACGAGGTCGTATTCGTTCGTCGGCGAGAAGGGGGGGGGTCGTATTTCACTTTTGGCCTTCTGAGAGAGGTTACTGACTTCTTATTGTTTTTCCTTTTTCATGTGTACATATTATTCACCCCCCCACCCGCCCGATAGCAACATTTTTTGGATGAAAGTAGGAAAATTTTTGATTTTTGGGTCTTTATGAAATTCCGGAAAAAGTGGTTAGAAGTTGGGAGAATCTAAGAAAGGGTAGGGGTGGGATGAGGAACGGGGTGGGTCGTACCAACCCAAGGGGTGTTTCTATGGACTTGACCAAAATCCTCAAGTAATGATGTCCTGCCTCCGCTCGACTCGAAGATTTTTAGGTAAAAGTAGGATATTTCCAGAAAAAGGGGTAGTATTGGGGAAAATCTAAGAAATGCTAAAGAGAGGGTTTGTAATTTCCTCGCGGTTTTTGCCGTTTCACATGTGCTATTTGCCCCCCCCCCCCCCTGTCCAGCCAGCTAGTGATGTGCCCTGCTTCTTCTACTGTGTTTCTGCTGGGAGTTTACTGTTGTTACTGGTTGAAACGAGAGAAGCAGAGCGTGATACAGAATGGGAAAAAGGTCCAATAGGGGTCCAATGGGAGGGTGGCTAGTATAACACCGGAGCACACCGTCATTGCCTTGTTTGCTATGCGCTTTTATATCATGTGCGTAGTTCGGGCGTTGACGGCGTGATAAGGCGGAGACTTGCTTGAAAGACCGACGGCGTCGTCGTTCGGCGTTGTCTTATTCTTCTTCTTCTTCTTCTTCTGATATCGTCATCGTCATCGCTGCACACGTTTGTACTTGTATATTGGCCAACAGAAGTCGTAACGAGAAATGTTTCTCATATGTATATGTCCGTCACGAGCACGAGGTATGCGCTTGAATGACTTCGAATATGTCAGGATACGTACACGATGCCCCACATTTTAATTTCTTCTGCTACTCGTCCATCCCAATCCCTCACAATCATCGTCCTCATCATCATCATCATAGCACGGGCGATAAACATGTTTTTCTGTTATTCGCTATTACGCCCATTTACTCTCGCGCTCGCGGCTTTTAGCAATGATTTCCTTACGACAACGTTTGTTGTATGTGGTGTAACGGATCGCTTTTCGATATATTTTGTCGAAGAAAATCGTTTTTGAATGAAAAATTTGAAGACCATCTGAGCTATAGCCTTGTATTCCAGAACGTCTGACCATTTACGGGGACATGTCCGAGGACACTCATCTGAAACATTGCGAGGATAATCCCCAGACGTCCACGGAGAGTGACCCAGTAAGTGCCTTTAGCCTTCACTTCTTTCACTCTATGAATTGTGCAGTTCTTTTCTATTTCCTGAATTAGTTTAGAGGCATGTAGCTAGACATCCAAATAGAATCCCTTCCGTTTTAAGAAGCACTGTGCCCCTTCACATTGTGCTTTCTTATCAGCGTACAGCATCATTGTATGAAACAACATGGGAGATGGGGGGGGAGGTCGTATTCGTTCGTTGTTGGGAGAGAAGGGGGTCGTATGTGTCTTTGGGAGAAATTTGCCGCTTAGCTTCCCGGTTGTGTTCCCGGTTGTTGACTTTTCGCGACTTTTCCCGTTAGGAAAATTATTGGAAGTTTCCCGAAAAAGCAGTAGGAAGTTGTGGAAAACCTAAGAAATTAAGGAATTCCTCAATCTTCTTCGCGGCTTTTCCCGTTTCACATGTACCATTTACCCTCCACCCCCCCCCCCCGCTCACCGGAAAAGTTTCGGGTGAAAAACTGGTAGGGACCTGAAAGCTGGGAACTTGTAGGAAAGTGGTACGTGGGTGAGGGGGATTGTACCGAAGGCCCTCCTCCGAGGGGGGGGGGGGTCGTACTCACACCACCATTTCACGTATTACGATGCTGTACCCTGTTTCTGATGCGGCAGATATCACTAAGTGCAATTTGTGAGCCAAATATTTTGTAAAATTTATTTTGGTAAGGGTCAGCTCCAGTGACGTAATGTTGCGTCCTATCGCAACGTCTGGTCGCCCAATACTGTTGTCCTCTTAGTTCAAATTCCCAATCTGATATCAATCATCCTAAGGAATTCGGTAATGACGTGGTGGCTCGTAGGCGACCTACGTGTTCAGCAAAACAAAAGAAAAAAAAGATATCCATTAATTTGACCAATACAAGGCAATTTATTTAGGAAAAAGTGAATTCTTTGAATTATTTACTGCTTCATTTGCAGCTGTCATCGTTCTCATGCACATTGCTGGAATTGGATGAGAATAAGGGGTTGACGCCACGCTTTCGTAAGCTCGGTGTTAAACTACCGAAACTTCGAAAGAAAGCATCTGACTTTGTGTTTTTACGGATTATTGGCGAAGGAGCTTATAGTACGGTAGGAATTATATCGTTGTTTCGTGGTATCGTTGTGCTCTTCATGGGTTTCTAAATAGGACACGTCGTATGTTGGGATTCCTCAGCGGGGGGTTGTATTTTGTGGCTAGAGAGAGAGTTACATCTGCCTTTGAGAAGGACATTTTCGTTTGCTGAATTTTCACGATTTTTTCCTGTTTCAAGTGTGCCTATGTTCCCCTGCCCCTCCGCAGCGGTTTTTGTTCCGGGAGGCGCTTTAGGAGATGGGAAGACTTGTTGGGAGAAGGAAGAACTTTTTGGCAGACAGGTAAAATTAGTAGGAAAACGGGGACAAAAGATGAAAAAATGTGTACGGGGAATAGTACCGGAGAGGGAATTTTCGAGGAGGCCGTATTTTGCAGAATGTTTCCCCAATGGCAGGACGTGCCCTGTACCTCAAGCCTTCGATGGGCGCTGAACTCATCCTGATTTCCTCATTTCAGGTATACCTCGCTCGTGAGCTTCGTGGTGATCAAACCCTAGCTATTAAAGTCTGTTTGAATACTCAAGATTTTTCCTAGTTCAGCGAGGATTTGCTAATTGGAGCGGGGCTGTTTTCAGGTGGTCCAAAAGGATTTTGTTATTCGGCATCAGAAGTTAGACGCAACCGTTCGGGAGAAGCACGTGTTGGCGTCGCTCAGTTATGAACGGGGTGGCCATCCATTTGTAACTCGGCTGTATTGCACATTTCACGATCCGGAACGATTATGTAGGTTTTATTCAATCATTAGTTATTACTAGTTAGTAAGCTGCAAGATGAAATAGTTGAAAAACATTCAGTTTGCATAACGACTACAGTCTCATTTATTAAATGTCAAATGAATTTTATTCATACAATTTGCACAGTAGGACGTATAATGAGTTCTATGAAGAAAGCCCTTTAAGGTTTTGTCAGCATAGGTCTTGTCCTTCGGATAATATCGAGGATTTAAAGAAACATAAATGAAATTTTAAAAAATCATGTAAAGATCAACCATCCAGGCTCGCATGACATGATCTCATAGAATCTGACAGCTTTTTGTCCCTGATTTTTTTATTTTTCTATAGATTTTGACTATGGAAATCTTGGTGTAGGCAGATACTGATCTATAGTTTTTTTAAGCGTTTTCATCCAGATTTTTGCTGATTTCTCAGGTTACATTTTTACTGCATGCTTGTTCGTTTGTGTGTTACATGCCATCTTGTCGTGTCCTTTTTCCTCATATTAGTTTTTTTATGAACTCTGTTTCTCTGGTCTCTGACAAGGACAGCACTGCTCACGGCGGCTTCCCGTTCAATTATTCACTCTTGTTTACGCTTTGATGAAAAGCACAGAGAACGATAATGCGCTAAAGATTGGCTTTTGCTATTTCTCGTCGTCAGCACACTTCCATGTAAAGTACCTCTCGAGTCGTCAATAGCGCTCTAGCATTTAAGGTTGGGAGGGGGGTTGGGTAGGAGAAAGGATAGTAGGAAGTATTCCTCGACTTATTCGTCATCAACAGTGCACTTTAAAAACATTTCTGGAAAACAAGTTATTTCGCTGGAGCACGTGCAGGACATTTATAAGCAGGGCACATCATCCGTTTTGTGAAACACAGCATAGGGAGGTATTTAGACTTCAGTGGGGAGCGAGCTCGTATTTATTTGGACGCTGGAGGAAAGAGAGGTCATATCCTAAAGAGTTGAGAGGCTGTACTTCAACGCTTAAAGGCAGTTGGCACAGTAAATCTTCGAGACGGGTAAGACTAATACGCTTGACAGAACTGAATTCGGCCCCCCTGAGCAAACGCTATGTATCGCCTTTTTCGAGGGAAGTATCCTTATAGCGCCCTATCAAGCTGCAACATACTGACCCGGACGCCCACCACGCCCGCCCGCCCACAAATGTCCGACCGATCCTGATGCTCGTAAAATCTTCATTTGCGAAGTAGAATATGAGGGAGTATGAGGGGAAGGGATTGATATGAAGCAGCTGCGGTGCTGCATGGATATATGAGCACATGCATGCCCCGTATCTACCGTAGCGGTTATTGGCACGATGCCAACGGGAAACTCGTCCGAAATTGCTTTCTGAGTCGTGTAGAACAGAAGGTTTTTCTGCAGGTTTTTGACCGTTTCGCTCGCTATTTCGCTCTATTTAGCACCCGTACTACCATTTTAGACAGAGTACCAGATTATCGTGCTAACTGCCTTTGAGGGAAGGAGTGCTGGTATTTGACGCAGGGATTTTCTTTTTCGATTGTTGACTCATGCTTAATGTATGGCTCTGTTTAACATCTTTTTCTTTAACGTCTAACGGGAACCTTCTAATTTGTGTGTAGGCCATGCGCGAATAATATCGCGTTCTATGAGGTGGTTGAGATAATCCTTCTAGAAAGAAATTCTCCGCTTTTTGCCATTCCCAGAAGCGCGCAGGAAAAAAGCATCACTTTTCAGTCTTTACACGTGCCATGACAAAATGTTAAAAACAGTTTCTAAAAAGGTTACAACCCGAAAGCATTCATTAATTGTTAGTTGGTACTATTGTCGCAGTTTAGGTTTTCTATTCTGATTCTTAGTCGGAATCGTACTTTGAGCCACCTTCCCCCCCCCCCCTCCTCCGCTCGAATGACTGAGTCAGCTCGGGAAAGAAAGTGTGGGAGGAGGGTCATGCTGGGGAGAATTTGGTCCACAACATCACTAAGTTTTCTGTTTTCGCAAGCCTACCTGATCTGCCTCATCCCAAGTTACCAAATACTACTGAGCTGTGGTAACTTCCTAGAAAAACGAGGTCTGGATGGAGTGATGGTGTAAAGACTGGAGTAAAATTGAAGGATTCATGGTTCGAAAAATTATTTTTGCTGTGCTCCTTATTCTTCTTCCATTCAGGATTACTGTGGCATTTGAGCGGGCGTGTGCAATGACTTGTGGATGCTATCGGTAGAAAATTCATTAATTTCAGCCTCGCAGGCATATCAAACGACTCCGTAGGGATACAAGGCTTGGTATGGCCCGGTGATGGTTAGTCTGGGATTTGAACACAGCGCTGTACCCGGCCCCCTCTTTTTAGCATCACATCAGCGCACCTTCAGACCATCCCTAGGCTTACTTAATCGTGCCCAAACTGACGGCCATCGAATCTAAGCCTCAGAAGGGTAAAGAATAGCAATTCCACGATTTTACAGATAGACAACTCCTAAAAATATTGCTAAACAGAGAACTCCTAAAAATTGCTAAACTCACTAATTATCCTGTCTGTCGAGTTTCAGAAGTGAAGAGGTTAAGATTGAAGACTCATTAGACTACTTGTTCAGGTAGACAGTTTTTTTCCATGAGCTACTTTTTTTGTTGTTGGCATAATTGATCAGTATAAAGTATTGATGAGGCCCTCAAAAATTGTTAATTTCGTCTACTAGTTTACGTTTCAGCTACTTCGCCTTCTTCCGAGACTGAAAAGTAATTCCATTTTTCGAAAATGTTTTTCTTTTGCCTTTGTGTTGGTTATTTCCATGGTAGCTTCTTTTCTTTCATGTGCAGTTCTATGGATATGACCTTCTCTTCCGCGCTTTTTATAGGGTCGTACCTGGTTTTTCGATATTATTCATCAAGCTTGGTGGAACCTTTTATTAGGAAATTCTCAACCTTTAATCGATACATGGGTTTTCCATTTCCATTCCTTACTATTAATACATGTGTGTGGTGTGAGATGGATAAAGTAACATAAAACACTAATGACTGGGTGGAAGTAAATGAAAGTGTGGGAGCATGTTGCCACTCGCCTAAGGGATATGCACAGGAAGCTAGACTTTTCTCGGTGGAAGAAGAGCTTGAATAAAGTGCCAAATATGGCCGACCGCGCAAATCGAGGCAGTCTATGGGTATGAAAAAAATTTTTTTCTCAATCAACGAGTAGCTGCAAAGAACTGTGGTAGTATCCTTCGATACATCATGTCCCGAAGAGAGCATCTGGATGACTTCACTCGAGGAAGGATCATAGGGAAACTCGAAGAAGGTCGAACCATGACGAGTGTAGCCCAGGAGTTCGGTATCGCTCACAGCGTTGTTTCACGTGCATGGAGAGCGTTCCGAACCTTTGGTACTGCTGCCCGAAGACGAGGAGGTGGCCGACCAAGGACAACTACACACATTGTGCAGCAGGCAAGAAGAGATCCTCGTCAGTCGGCTTCGGCTATTGCAACGACGTTTAACAGGACTCTAGGGCAAGCCATCTCACGCACTACAGTGGCAAGACGACTGCATGGTGGTGGTCTCTTCGCCCGACGATTACGTTGTGTTCCTTTGACCCCCGCGCATCGGCGAGACCGTTTACGGTGGTGCCAGGAGCATGGCGAATGGACCGATGAGGAATGGAGCCGTGTGCTCTTTTCGGATGAGAGCAGGTTCAGTCTGAGCAGTGATTCTGGACGCACCCTCATATGGCGAGAGGTGGGAACACGCAACTCCCCCGGAAACATTGTCGAACGTGATCGTACTGGTGGTCGAGGTGTTATGGTATGGGGAGGCATCATGTTGCATGGCCGTACTGACCTCCAGATTTTTGAGCATGGAACCCTCACCAGTCAGCGTTACTGCGACGAGGTTCTCCTACATCATGTCCGTCTTTTCAGAGCTGCAATCGGCCCTGACTTCATTTTCATGGATGACAATGCGCGACCGCATCGAACAGCACAGGTGGAGGAGCTTCTAGAACGAGAGGATATCCGGCGAATGGAGTGGCCCGCCCGTTCCCCCGACCTAAATCCCATCGAGCACGTGTGGGATGCACTGGGTAGACGCATTGCAGCACGACCAAATGCACCAATGACGATCCAGCAATTGTCAAATGCACTGATTGAGGAGTGGAAGCGCGGTGCAGAGCATGTATTGCTGTCCGTGGTGATCACACACCCTATTAGGATCCGTGTAACTTCTTTTGTAGTACCAGGATAAATCGTGAAGACTTATGTGTAATCGACATGGTTGAATAAAAATGTCATAACAATTCGTCTTATTCCGAGTTTCTGTCAGTTGCTTTCTGTACAATATCGTTAAGGTTCTCTCTTGATATGATATGAATTTCATCGAGCTATGTTGTCTGGCAGAGGCACAGTGATCGAAAGTTGCTTTCGTCCCTAAGTTTTGCATACCAGTGTATGAGTTGAGAAGGCACCAGATGTAGTGACTAGTACCCTGTGGGTCCTACCGAATTTTTTTTGTGAAGGATTCTTAAGCTCGCAAAAACGAACAGTTTCATCCCGAGGGCATGTGTGAGTGAAATCCTAACACTGGATTGTGTTTGAAGGTAGGGAGTGCGTTGGCCTGGAAGCGGGCCCACCGCGCACAGAGGTTGTGGCTTCGCGCCATTCCACCAGTGGTCTGTAACTGCTGCGCCACCCGCTTTCCAATGTGCCCGCTGTTTTAAATGAGCGCAAGAGGAAGATTACTATAGAAAATGCTGAAGAACAACAGCGTACTTTTCAACGAATTGATTTCGCAGCTTCAAAGTGAGTGACGAGGACGTTGAGACTTCAGGTGTCGTAGCAGCCCTTCCCTAACAGTAGCGACTCCTCCCACAGATAAAGGTGAACGCCTTTGTCCATCGGTAGCGTCATTCCCTTCTTCATCCCTTGCCCATCTCTCGCTCGCGTTCGCAGAATTTTTGCCTTCCTAACCATTGCTGAAAATGAGCTGCAAAAAAGGGGGATTCTGTTCAGGGCGCTCGCGATAATTTCGGCTTGTTTTTCTTCATTAGTGAGTCAAATAGCACCTACAGTATTCGTATTTGGAACACACAGTTCACGACTCGCATTCGGTGAAATGTGCCTCTGGACACATCTCAGCCTCACCTTTACATATTCCTTGTAAAGTTCCCTTAACCATTTCATTAAAGTAAACGAGTAGATGTAGGACCACTTTAAGCGCTAAATCCTGTTGTCCTTCACTGGAATCGGATAATGTTATGAAGTGTTATTGAGAATGAGGAAGTACGGCACAAGTTCTCGAGGAAACTGAAGGAACTAAATATTGAATAACTCCATTTTTCTACTTTTTCTCCTTTGTTAAAGATCAGAGTATGTACGTCATTAAGGCCACGATTTTTGTGGGAATTCTTATCTTCTTGTCCGGATTTGAAGCACAAAACTCATTCTTTGATCAGGAGTCATGCATACCTAATACAAGGGGTATTTCGAGATTCACGTTTTCAGCGAAAAAGACCATTTCCAGAAGAACGAGGGTATGGGATGCATAACTGTTTCTCCACTGGACTCAAACATTTTCCATATCTCAACAAAAAAGCGAAGATCATGAAAAAAGTCTGAAGAGTACCTTTATTCACGGAAGTGTTCAGGATAGCTGCCCGGCCAGCGTAACCGGTTGTCGTTCCAAGATTCACTTCTTCGGAGCAGATGTCTCGAGTGGAATTATAGTGTGTTAATTGGAAAGGGTGGGTTGGGGGGGGATATTTGGATACATCGAAGGCACAGTTCGCGATAGTACAGTATGTGTAGTAGGGTTTATCCGTGAAAAACTATTGGCTGTGTGGGTCTCAGTGAAGAAATAAGTGAAAAGATGTTGAAAACGGTTTGACCAGGCCTACCTCGCTGAGGCTGGCTCTGGGCCTTATACGAGGATACGAAGAAACAGTGAGCGCCTAGATGAGAAATCAGTCGATGAAGGGCGAGAGATGAGAGCACGTAGCCAAACGAGCGTTACATATACAGCCATCCCCATGTAACGAGGCGGAACCATGTAACGTATTTGAAGCCCATACCGCCTTGATCGCAGAGCACGCTGAGTTGTAAGATGCCGTAGCCACTTTGTACGGAAATTTTTACAGGACTTTATAGGTAGCTCGAAACTAACTCGCCCAAGTACGCTTTGGTGTCCTCTCCAGCCGAACTGCCCGCCGCGGCAGACGTTTTATCAAGGCAAGCAGAGCCTCCGATTTCCGCGGCGTTCTAACGTTAGGCGCAGACAAATAGTGTAGTTTTCGGGAGCTTGTGTACTTTTTGAATAGCTTGAGGTACTGTGATATGCAGAAGATTTTGAGTTATGATGAAGATGTACACATGGTACTTCAAACTTTCAGTGTATTTACTTACAAGAATCAGTTGAAAGGCATTTTTTTGGAAACCCTATTGGAACGATCTCGTCTAGTAATAGGGCTTTATACATTTCTCACTATTTCTGTTTGTTCTACCCTTCATTGGTGTTGAATGGAAATGTTAGTAATATCATAGTGCCCTTTCCAGTGATAATTATCAAATATTGTCATCTGAAACTTGCTCTACAATTAAGGTTTCCTTAGTTGTTATTTATCATTGCACGTCCTACGTCAGGGGGTTCCCAGAGGGGAGAGGGGGGTGGTAATAGGTCGCGGGAGGGAAGGGATCGTGCGTGGGGATTAATTTTTATATGCATTACGATACTTCCCCATCTTCATTTCTGTTTTTAATACAGGCTGCTATGTTAGAAAGGACAGTTCGACCACAAACCCCAATCTATTAGATAATCGGTTGAAATTCCCACGCTCTTCTGATGTCTCGGTTTCCGCTTTCTTCGTTTTTCTAACATTTGACTTCTTCGCACTTACTCCGTTTACTGGGTTATCGCACTTACTTGGTACAATTCTGGTTTTTCTCCAACTTCCGGTTGTCGTCAAAGTAGTAATCGTTCTTTGAATTCCTACTGCTACCGTGCTATGTCAGTGCCCCTTTTTCGAGAAATTCCCCTTTTCATTACGAAATCGCTACTTCATTGCAGTCTATGGCGGTGTTTTTTGTTAAAGTAATGTGTAAACGTCGATTATATGTGATTTGTGAAATTAATCTTCGTTTTTACATGTGTTTTTCATTCAACGGTACTTTGACGCCGGTTACATCGGAAAAGAGGTCGCCATAATTTACTGCTTCCTGTGGACATGACAAAACGGTGGTTTGTTGACGTGTTGCCGACAGTAAAGTTTCGGAACGCTTTTGTCAATGAGAATGAGGGATGGAAAGAAAGAAAATGAGAAAGTATGAGGCGTAGAAGTAATTATTTTTAATTTATTTATTATACTCGCACCTTTTAGGATGTAATCCACGCGTATGTATCATGAGAAAGAACCCGGCAAAACAAATACAAGAAGTACGATCAGAAATGAAGAGAACAAGTAGTAAGCTAGGTAAGAGTATGGTGTCGCTCGAGACTAGTAATATATCGTCAGTGTCAGATTTTATTATTTATTGATTTATTTATTTCCATACACTCAAGATGTGCACACAAAAATATCTAGAAAATAAACCATGAAAAGGACTATGGCGAAAACTGCAAATGGGTTTGATGTTAATGGTTTGATGTTTGTTTTATAAGAGCTTTTTAATTTTTCGATCTCTATCTCTCCCCTTTCGAATGTTTGTCTACAGCTGTCTTCTTCTCCACGTAGCCCCCCCCATGGCTTTATCCGAAGAGCTCCGCGCTACTCCTCCCCCACCCCTCAAAATATTTTATAAAGCATTGTTAGTGAGGCTATTGTTGGCTCAACATCTCTCTTTCTCTTTTTCACATTTGGCTTCCTTTCCACTACGTCATTTCAGTCTAAACGCGCACAAAAAATCCATAAAATTATTTCAAATTATATTGAAAAACATCTGTCCACATTCACCTGTTTATCGATCGGCCCGCGCATGCCACTTGCATTGTACCGGAGATGGGTGCTTTGCCGCGCAGCGTTGCGTATTTTCAATATATTGGCATAGTATGCGTTTTCAGAGAATTTCCATTTGAAGACAACTATCACCCTGTGTTATCGTGGACAGAGGCATCATTAGAATTGTCCCAAGGAGACAGTATCCCATTGAAAGCGCGGCCGCCGCTACATAAATGAAAAACGCGGCCACGCCCCCCTTATTTCCGGGCTAAGAAGTGTAGATTGTCCAGAATAACGTCAGATGTGTGAGAGTAAAGAATGCAAAAAATCGAAAAGGTTGTATAGCCCTGCTTTCAAGTCACGGCAAGCGTGAAGAAAGAGGCTGCAAGGTGTGATGTGCGCAGCATTCGCAGCAGGACCCAATCCACTCTACGACCGGCCAGCGCTGCACGCTGCCGTTCTCTTTTGCTGTCTGTGTCTCTTCATGTCAGCTAGCTAGCGAAAAAGTGCATGCCGTAATGCATAATAGTTGAACTGATAATGTCGCAAACCGAGTCGGAAACTGGAACAAACCAAGTTCTTCACAGTACTGATTTATTCTAAACAAAGTGTTTGAAAGGAATCAGAATATGCAGGAAATATTGTAACTCTGTCTAGAAACCTGTCGCACGTGTTGTTGCCATCATGCATTCGAAGCGACTTACACCCAAAAAAATAGGGTACTTGTTTGTTTTGTAATTCTAATCTTATCATTTTTATCGATTTTGTTCGAAAATTCCATTTAAGATCCTATTTTTTTAGATTTTGTTACGGATGTCGCTCATCATGGCGATTTGTTGGTGGCACTCAGTCGTCTTGGATCGTTTGACGTTCCAGTAGCACAGTTCTATGCGGCGGAGATTGTCGTCGCTTTAGAATTCGTTCACAGGTAAGATTTTAGCTCCATTAAGATACCGTTAATCGATATTCTCTCGAGCACGATGGCTAATGCACCTCAGAAAGGCATTATTGAGGAGGACCGAAACCCTCGCCTTTACTAAAAGACACATTACGCCATGAAAAAGGTGAAGCGCAGATCACAGCCATTGTGCTTGCTCGGTTCTCCTTTCTCCTCCCTTCCAGTCTGATACCGTTAGAGAAGCTGGGTCAGTGGCGGGAGACACAGTTGCGACTGTGAGTCTCCGGCCCATCGAAAAATTTCCGGGTATGTACAGTCGTCATCCTTGCACTTGATAGTCAATGTCAGTGCGGCTGCGTGCGGCGCGGTCGTCAGCACCCGTACTGCACCAATCGTTGAACCAGAGAGTGACATTACTGTATTATATCCTTCGTGTTACTCGTTTTCTATCACTTTTTGTCGCATACGCGTTTCAACGAAAAGGCTGAGAAGGCTTCAGTGTGCACGCTCCTTCTCGCCGACACGCCCCTATCAAGTGCAAGGATGACGACTGCATCTAACAAGTCTGCCAAACGGAAAGAGTTGTTGTTACTGTACGGTTCAGTGTGAGGTCATTCTTAACAAGTACCCCGTACTGGTGTTTTGGGGATGTACTGGGTTTGTGGGTGGAGTGGGCCAATAAGGACTGTAAGGGGTCAACCAATCAGCTGTGAACTCCTACCTGATTCGAGAAGATGTTAGGAAACCTAGAAAGAGCTGCATGGTATAAACAGTACATAAAATATTTGAATTTTGATATCAATTTCATTATTCTTACAGGTACGGTGTCGTTCATCGCGATGTGAAACCAGAAAATGTCCTCATCCGGAAGAGCGGCCATATCATGCTTACGGATTTTGGTAGCGCCCAAATTTATGACCAGAACTTGTGTAAGTATTGAGCTCGATTCTCATGACCTTTTATCTAATTACTGATTTTTGCTGGAGATATAACTGCAATTATTGATTTTGTTGTTATAGTTCTGAAATTTTGATGGCTGTCAATTTCAGTCGTACACTATGAAGAAGAGGATGACCCTCCCTCACAAGTACGTCAACTATGGCGGGATCAACGGTATATCGAAGCTGCTGCGTCAGGCAGTATGAGTTCATCCACAGAGTCTGATGAGCAAATGGGTGGTGAGTAACTGATCATGAATCTGCTGTTAAGGACATATTCAGCGTCTTGGCGGGAAGAGGGGTGGAAAGGGGAGGGGGGTGGGCTAAGTCTTCCAATAGCCGTCATGTCCCGCGACCAGACCTAGAAGGCTGTAGCCAATCGTTGGGATGGCTATCATCAATAATATAATAATAAGTTGTCATCTTGCGGATAGAGAATCTCGGCGAACCTTCCGCCCACCTCTGGAAAATGGAATACGTGCCCCGTACCCAGTTCCATATACTCGGGGTGATGTTGACTGACGTGCCTGGCGGAGAACCAGTCCACAGTTTCGCTTCATTGTTAAAGTAACCTACAGTTATTGGGGGGGGGGGGCGTATGGGAGATAAAGTTTCGTTAGCTGCGAGCGCTAGGGCGCGTCACGTGTTCTGGAATTTGGCGCGACCCCAGCCTATTCTCCTCCAAGGAATGAAAGCGACAATAGTTACTGCACAACGTGTTTGCGCCATGCCAAACCCAGACTTCCTTACGCGCCCCGCATCCGAAGCGAACAAGACTGTGCAGGGCTGTACAACAGTTGCGAAAAGTTGAATATGCAAGGGTAGTTCACCCACCCCAAAGCTGTCTTCTCCCGCTTCTCGAGTCGCTACGGAGGCGCTCACGCAGTATTGTAGAACGTGAGAATATAAAAAGTGAATGTAGATAGCGTAATCAATCTTCACACTTTCAAAAACATTTTTTCCAAAATGAAATTTTTTTTAGCTCTCGAGCATACACGTCGAGCCACCTTTGTCGGTACCGCCCAATATGTGAGCCCAGAGATGTTGCGAGGTGATGAAGTTGGACCACCGTGAGTTAACTCAGAATTACTTTTTCGATCAACTTAGTCGAGTCGAAAGTATAGTTCACATTTGTCTGAAAACAAATGAATTTACAATTAGCAGAGTACCACTACCGCCTAGCACCCTCTTCTACCCTCTGTCGGGTTGGCTCATCTACAACTCCCCTTTCCAACAGCAAGGAGCTATTTTTCTTCATGCGGTCATAGTCTTTCAATATTCGAAATCTCTTTTTCCAGCCAGATATTTTTCATTTGAAGCAAGCGCGGGCTTTCTCTGGTTTCATGGGGCATTCTGAAATCGCTGACAAGTCTGAAGCATAGTATCTAATTTTTACCTGACTAATCTTGAAGCGTATACCCCTATTATGGAGTGGGCGGAGACTCTGTCATTTCTCGTCATTTGGCCTTATCCTTGACGGATCTCGCTCCTTTGTTGTGCCTGAGGGAGGGGGCACTATCCAGAAAAGCATATTGGTTGTGAGGTTTAGCCCGGTCGATCAAATTATCGCGAAATACGTTCCTGACTTTGAAAATCACACATCCGGCACGATCTACGAATGTTATTATATTATTTCACTTTTTAATTATCACTGATTCTTCAGGGTCTTTATCAGCTTGTTTCTCATCAACCTGTTTGATCTTGAAATACATATGGTACAATATGAATATGTTACAGATGTGACTATTGGGCGCTCGGTGCTACAGTCTTTCAAATGATCTCAGGACAAGCTCCATTTCGGGCTGTGAATGACTTTCATCTGATGAATAAGATTCAGAAGCTTGACTTTTCATTCCCTGCAGGATTTCCTGATGTTCCCAAAGACTTCGTCTCGAAGCTACTGGTGAGATATCAGTCCTCTTACGTTTCCTTGTAATCGTTTGTTAGTGATAGTGATTCAGTTGAGAGTTCCTAAAAGGATACTGCTACATTTACTGGTGTGGGTCAGGAGATTCGCGCTGGGATGGCGTGATTCCTCGTGCCAAATTGATTAGGTGGTGGTACGAGGGCCACACCCGCAATTCAAGTCTCCTGCTCCACCCCCCCTCTAATTCAACTTCTTTTGGTGCCTAATGTTCCCTGAAAGTACTTTTTGAAATATGAATTTGCATGTTCATCAAGGCTTTGTATAGGTATTGGATCCAATGGTTCGACTTGGGTCACGAGATTTAGCAGCCCTCAAATCCCACGAATTCTTCAATGGAGTCGACTGGGAGAATATTGTGAACGCGACGCCGCCAGACATATTACCAGCAGTTTCGCCAGGGCTAGGTTCTCTTTCTTGCAAGAATCTTCAAATGGTTTCGAGAAAAATTAAGAGTTATTCTTATACATTGCTTTTCTTAAGAAGAGGCCGAGCTAAAATCTATTGATAACATGCTGAGCTTGCGTCTTCGACGAAAAAGCCCTCACCGATGATCAATTTTGTCTTTGATGGCCAAATGGGCCCGTGGTAAGTTTCCTGCGTTCGCTTTCTCTCTTTGCTCTTTCAAATCTGATACAGCCCTTATTTCAGCAAGCAGCTATCCCTCGACAGCGAAATCTTGAACAATGCTGTAGATATTCCAAGGTTTGTTGAGAATCTGGATAGGGACCACCTTTTTGAAGGCAGTGGGCACTAAAGATGGCTGGGGTCGCGGGCCTGTTTGCCCATGTCAGCGTCATTGCGCGGAAGCGGCGGAGCCAGGGTGCTGGCCAAACGGTTTCTCGCAGTCTTTCCACCAGTATCTTGGCCAGCAACGCCGCCTAGGCCCCAGCCATGTGCCTCTCTGGCCCTCTTATTGATTTCAAAGCACTCTTTCGTAATTGCCTGAAAAAAACCAAAAACGAAGAAAGGATACAAAGCTGTAGTGCACAATTCTGATACTCAATTTGCTGGGTACAAAAGGATAGTAGATCTTAAAGGCAGTTGGCCGATGGCTTCAATTACTTAGCCTTAAAATTGCTAGAGTAGGGCGCTGTATGTATAGTGGGGAAATGGCCCTAAGAACGGATGTGAAACGGTCAAACATACTGCGAACCGGGAACTCCGTTCCTTAATACTTTGAAAATCGTCATTTCGGATTGAATTTCCCATAGCGCAATCTTACGCAATCCGCTACAAGATGCGGCCTGCTATGTGTGCCATATATGCATGCAGCATCACGGCCGCTTCATACCAATTACGAGCGTCAGGAACGGTCGTCCATTTGTGGGCGGGCGGGCGTGGCGGGCGTTTGGGACGTAAAGTTGTGGCTTGATAGGGCCCTATAAGGGCACCTTCCTCGGGGAAACCGCTATGTGCAGCGCCTGCTCAGGTCGCAGAATTCCGTCCTGCCAGGAGTATTGCTCCTAGTCGTCTTGGGGGATTTATCGTGCCGACTGCTTCAAGGCGCATGAATGCACAACTGGCTTCTACTGGACGCAAGTGACCCCGCCCTCATTGGTATCCGTCGTTTCACTCATTTATATGCTCCCTTAGTGCTCTTTTTTGATCCCAACGTCCCAGCAATTTCTTCCCTTGCTGGAGACATCTAGTGCCCTATTTGGGGCATTTTGACGATTTCCTTCGCTTTTTTTTCGTAAGTTACTCAGCGCCGGCCTGCACATCGGTTTGCTCAACCCCACATCTACGACGCTTGTGCTAGGCTTATCGCGAAATGTGCCTTTCAGCTCAGTTTCACTCGCGTTTTTGGTAGTACATTTGATATCGGCGGATCGGCCGGGGCGGGGCGACGGGCGACGGAATGCTATGAGCCCATTCGTAGCTTCTCCCACCACTGATTGTTTACTCCCTAAATGATCACTAAGGTGAACGATCGTTATTGGTGGGACACCTAGCCACAGGACGGGCTCACTCTATGTACAGTCGTGATCCCTCCGATTGGCCATCCGTAATTGCGTACCTCTGCTGGGACGCGACAGCGGCCGGGCCTCTCAGCGTACTCTTCCTCTCTGCGCTCTGCCCCGCAATAGCCGGCTCGCGCAATCAGCTGATCGCCGCTATTTATTTTTTATTCAAGCTTTTATTCTGCTTCCTGAACGCCAGAAAAGTGAGGTAAGTTAGTATTATTTACTCTAATTTTAGGTTCTATAAAATATTTCGCTTCATGTCGCTATTTAGACTGTTTTAGTAGTGGTTTCGTCTATTTTTTGATTTTGTTTAGGTGTTCTCTATTTATTCTTTGAATGTTGGACCTGCTTTCCATGACAATGTCGTGATGTGTCCTTATTAGTGTCGAGGATGTCCAACATTCGAAGAATAAATAGAGAACACCTAAACAAAATCAAAAAATAGACGAAACCACTACTAAAACAGTCTAAATAGCGACATGAAGCGAAATATTTTATAGAACCTAAAATTAGAGTAAATAATACTAACTTACCTCACTTTTCTGGCGTTCAGGAAGCAGAATAACAGCTTGAATAAAAAATAAATAGCGGCGATCAGCTGATTGCGCGAGCCGGCTATTGCGGGGCAGAGCGCAGAGAGGAAGAGTACGCTGAGAGGCCCGGCCGCTGTCGCGTCCCAGCAGAGGTACGCAATTACGGATGGCCAATCGGAGGGATCACGACTGTATACTCACACTGCCGTACTGATTGATGACATCGATCATATCTGTCCTCAAACTGCAGTACAGTCTCCTACAATATATTCGTTGCAAGGCACGCTATATTGCAATCTCTTATAATTCTCCAATGTAAAGATTGGGCAGCATTTGGCAGCCCAATCTTTACATTGGAGAATTATCAGAGAGTCCGTCGCAAAGCTCGAAAAAGGGGAAAAAGGTTCTACTCTTCCGGATAGTTGATAATCAAAGACGGGTGGCGCGTCTACCACCCCGTTTCCCGCTCGACGTATGCTGAAGCGTTATATTTCGGACTAACCTCGTCTTCCGGGCAGTTGATTAGGGCGGTCGTCAACGGGCCGCAGCGCGTGCCAGGAACTATTTGCTTTTCCAGGCTAATTTAGTCATTTTTTCCACCTTGTGAAGATAAGGAGCTGCTAATCTGGGAAAAAGTAGCCAAAACAGTGAAAAGTTGGAAAAATGACTAAATTAGCCTGGAAAAAGCAAATAGTTCCTGGCACGCGCTGCGGCCCGTTGACGGCCTAAATCAACTGCCCAAATGACGACTACCTTCCTGGACGCTACAGGATTCTTCTAGCGCGCTGTGTGCCAAGTGCTGCTTTAGCAATCAGTGCCGAACACTAATATACAGGGATTCACTGCGCTAACAGCCTTTCAAATCAAAAGTAAAATATCACCAATATGGAAGAGGTATATGATTTTTGATTACAGTGACATGATAGAACTTCCTAAAGTTGACAAGAGAGCTCTGACAGCGAGGCAGCGGAAGCTGGAGAAACAACGAAAAGAGAACCCCTATCATCTGTAAGTTTACATGTGCTGTATTTTAATCACAGTTATATGCATTTCGCAGTATATTTCGGCCAATATTTCTCTCCCTTTCTTCAAATCCGATTGCCTGATGAGTAATGATATTACCTTTTCCAGATTTGTACAGGACAATTGATCATTCGTTCCGGCTTTATTGACAAGAAGAAGGGTCTATTCTCCAGGAGGCGGATGTTTCTTCTTACCGAGGTTTTACCTTTCTTTGCTGTTGCTCTTCAGGGCCCAAAAACAGATATTTGCGCTGAAATTTGCCCAAATGTAGATTACATATTTGCGGCTGGAAATTCCTCAAATTTTTAGTCTTTTTGAAGTAGCTTTCCTAATGGCGGTGAAGCACAGCCTCGTTTTCTAGTAGACAGATTCTTGATTCCATGGATTCACCGAACACAGCAACTTCAGGACTAAATCGAAACTCCTAGCGCATTTTCTTGAGAAAGTGCGTGCCCAGCAGCAGTCCACATAGTGTACCACCACGTCAGTCGAAAGTGTGCGGTGAAAACGCCAGTGGCTGTTACCTAACTTCAACCGCAGCTTCCCTGGTCTGGCTTCATCCACTGCGTACACAACACCAAAAAATTAAAACTTGAAGCATGCCATCAAACTCGGACATCAGAGAGCTCTCTGAAATACCTCAATTCCAGGGTCCTCATCTTTTCTACGTTGATCCAAACAGTATGGAATTAAAAGGCGAAGTTCCATGGTCTCCATGTATGAGAACGGAAGCGAAAAACTTCCGAACATTCTTTGTTCATACCGTGAGTTGTGTTTATCACTGTTTTGGAACATTATAGTATTTATTTCCAAGGGTCCGATGTACCAGTCGTGTTTTGGCTCCCTATTTTGACACCTAGGAGTCGAGCCTTGTGAGGGCGCCTATCCAGCCTGTGACATTGTCCTAGGGTTACGCGATTGCGTCGCGTCCTAAGGCTGTCGTATTTGCAATGGTCACTCGATATAGTTCAGAAGTTTTGAGTTCAAAGTTGTGGAGAAGCACCGCAACCAGGGCACGTCTTGGCGTTGGGAAGGATTTTCCCTAACTACGACCTCCCCAGATCTTCCCCTTCGATGCAACCCTCTCCACAACAATCGCTCTTATCAGACTTTCTCAGAAATCTGCCCTCGAGCCGGAGACGGGGTAGACGTAGTCTAGACCAACTATCAGAAGAACTCGTCTAGTCGGCGCCGCCGACTAGAGGGGGAGAGATAGTGTGCGTGAGGCGGGAAAGTCATCTATTAGAAAAAAATTTCCCAGGCCAATTACAGCACCGCCGAACGACCCCTTTTTAGCCCCAATGCTGTGCAACTGGCCCAACACGCTGCCGCGCCGCATGTTGGACGAGTTGCGCTGCGTCGAATTTCGTGGTACTTCGGACCCTGGAACTGCGCGCCATGTGCTCTACTGGGTTCATAAAACAGGAAAAATTTACATAATAATTTTTAGCCGAAACGGATCTATTATCTATTCGACCCAGAATCGAGAGCTTTGGAGTGGTGTAAAGCGATAGACCAAGTAAGTAGATTGTGAAGAAAACTCATGGGTAATCGAACAAGGTTAACTATTTTCAGGTAAAAGTGCGATATGCCGACAAAATAGCGGAATCGTATGCGAGAGCTGTAAAAGACGGCACATATGGAATAAACAAGTTCAAGAAATCAAGTAATTATTTTGGTGACAAGCGGAAAAAGTCGGAAGTGGATAGCGGGAAACGTGACAGTGAATCGGCGTCCACACCTCATTAAAAAGGGCCAATGTGGAGCGCCTTTTGCGGAATTCAGTATGACGCGATTCTACGCGTTTTATATTCATTATGCTAGTACCAGTATTTTATCCTTTTTATGATAGAAGAGTATTTCTGTATGTTAAATTAGTAAAATGCACAATGACTTCTGAGACAGTCATGCTTGGCGCTAGTCCAATTAACATTTTGGTGCAGATCACTCAAGGCCTTTTTAAGTGTTTCAACAATTTTTCGATCATAAGTAGTCAGAAAATGCTTTTTGTCTAAACCTCGGGAATAATGTAGAAGCGAAACTCGTAAACTTTCATAGCTTTAAACACTTTCTACTGTAATACGACAAACTTTTGCACCAAAATGTTTACCTTGTTGGTATAAGACCCTGATGTTTCTATGTCCGCGCGCGCAGATGAAGCTATTATTTATAAATACGATATAAAATTTGCTTATATAATTTAATTCAGTGCTACGGGCGTGTTTTAAACTTAAACATTTCGCTGACCCTTGCAAAGGGGTGCTGTTGTCGTGGGTGTGGTGCGTCACTTCCAAGTCTTGACCAGGCGGCTTAGGTCTTGCGGGGTGACGGGGTGTCGTGCGCAACGTTCTCATCGGGACCCAATCCACTCAGCGCGGTGGCGCGTCAACTCTATCAGCGTCTGCGCCTCTCAGATCGACTGGTTCTCTCTTTTTCCGCGTGTGTCTAGTCAAATAGCTAGGAAATGCTCTGCTAGTGCGCAAATAGC